GAGCACGGCCTCCGCGCGCGCCCCCTGGCGGAGACGAGGCCGCCGGAGGCGCTGCCGGCTGAGCTGGCACGCCCGCAGCAGTCGCTTCCCTGGTGTTAGGGCGTCCCCTGCTGGTGCTGGTCTCGGTGACCCTGTTGTGCGGGAGGCGCTGATAGATCGGTGTCGGAGACTTAAGTGGGGTTGTGAGCCAATCTGGTGGCCTTGAGAGGGTCCCTTAATGTCTCTGAACTCAACAGAAGTTTGAAAGATAGCCCACTTTATATTGCTCCTTACAGCAGTGCTATCAGCAGGTGATGGTTGACCAAATTACAATCGAGGAAACCCAGGGCCGTCAGGACTCTCCTGCTTGTTCAGGATCCAATCGCCATGACGTATGAAAAGTGGCAAAGTAGTAGTTATATATGTGAAATTTCATAATTCCAAGACTGCATTCAGTGATCATGTGTCAACTTCATCGTCAGAAGGCTCTCTCATTTCTCCCTGCCCAACCACTCCGGAAAGCGTTTGCTTCTAGTCCACAGTCCTGGGTCATCCTGCTTAACACCCAACAAGCCTGCGTGGTTGCGTCTTTGCTTTAACTGCCACTTGGCCAGAGTCATCTTTGGAATCCTGAGGCAGGACCCTTCCAGCCCTGGGAGCAGCAGTTGGTCTAACACTAGCAGCTCCTTTAGACTTCAGGAGGACCAAGAACCAGGCTTCCGGGCCTCCTAGACACCGGGATCTTTTTCCTGGGAAGGAAATTCTTGAGCGTTCATGCCAGCATGAACAGAGACAGAACTCCCTTATTCTGTAGGATGAAGGATTACAAGCCCCCACAGTATTCCTCAGGAAGGTATGGGATCCCCTGTCCTTGCTTACTTCTCTCCTAACTTAACAATAACAACCCAAGTATGCTTTTTAAATATATAGTAGGTAGTGTCTGCTATATATAACTAGGTCTCAATTTTTGCTTTCAAACAGCTATTTTTTTATTGTTAAGGTAAATTTATATATTTTCTCTTAACAATTGGAACAAGAAATGACCGTGGAAATGCAGGTAGCACTATGTTTAAAATATATTAAATTAATGAATTAGGAAATTAACTGGGTTTAAAGTTCTTAAGCATTCTACAGCTTGTGTTCCTGATTTACAAGACTGAGGTTTTCACAGAGGCTTAAAATCATGACAGTTTCTATAAATAAACTCCTTTTTACTGTGTATCTTACAGCAAAAATTTGTGCCCACAGCAAGCATCTGAAGATATGCATGTCAGTTCCTATGTGTGTAACCCGCCCCAGGTCCTCATACACAAGTATCTTTTGGAAGTTTTAAACTACACCAGCAGTTAAATAAGTATTTGTACCCTGTTTCACCCTTTTAGTTCTGAGACGTTTTGTAAGGTTCGTGGAGTCTACAGAATTCCTAGGAGCTAGAAATGAATTGGTCCCCAGGACTCTGTGACCAAAGGCTTGCACAATAAATTTTCTGTTGTTCCCCATCCCCCATATTACAAGTCGGTTTGTGTTTGTCTTAACTACTGCTTATCATATGCACTTACTTCCTTTAAATTCACATAAGAAATATTTTTCAAGAATTGTATCTCAATTTTTGTCTTTGAGTATTAACATATGAAGAGCGAGCCCACACTAGAAAATCTTTTCTCCCCCAAACGTTTCATATTCATGTATTACATGTAAATATATTTGAGATGCAGTCCACTTCAACAAATTCTAACACAATTGTGCATAACATAAAAACATCATAACTGAGTTCAGTAATGTCTCTGTAAATGAGATTTGAATAAATATATTTTCTAAGTGTGTCATGTTCAATTATATGAGAATGTGTGATATTTGCTTTTCTGATAAGGACACAATTGCTCTACATTTATATTAGAAATAAAGATATTCAAAATTGTGCAGTTGGTTTCTATGTGGCACAACTTTTTTTTAAAATAAGATATATTCATTTATGCATACAAGAACTGGGGTACAGGCCAGAGGTGTGGGGGCAGTGAGAGGATTCACCAGAGAGAGAGTGGGGAGCAGAACAGGCAGATGTACTGAAATACACTGCTGAGGAAACAGTGGGCAGGTCAGGAGAGGTCTGCTGTGCCATTTGGGTCACCTCCCTGGCCAGGGTTTGAACACAGTGCAGTGACTGCAGATAGCCTCATAGTGCTGTGTTTTAACCTGTTGTGCCACCAGTGAGGGCCCATGGAACATCTTTTCTAAGGTCTCCAAGAAATTTGCTTATGTCATGGCAGGAGTTGGTTTTGATACAGAAGCCACTGTGTTCCCAGGACTGCTGTCTTCTCAAAGATCACACGGCAGTGAAGTCTAACTGGTTTGGCTAAGAGCTCAGATAGATACACCCCAGTTCTAGCACTGTTGTCATCTGGGAATTTGAGATCTAAATTATTACTTATTATTAATACTTTAGATTTTTAATAAAGATTTATTTATTTATACACACAGAACTAGGGTACAGGCCAGAGGTGCAGGGGTGATGAGAAGATTCACCAGAGACAGAGTAGGGAGCAGAACAGGTAGACCGATGAAGTACATTGCTGAGGGGAATAGCAGGCAAGACAGGAGAGGTCTGCTGCATCATGTGTGTCACCTCCCTGACAGGGGATTGAACTGCAGCTAGGGCTAGCTTCTGTAACAGTGCTGTGCTTTAATCTGTTGCGCCACCAGGGAGGGCCCAGTATTTTAGATTTAACTATAATTTATGCCACTATTCTGTCCTACATGTCCCTAGTGTTTCAGGTTGTTTTTCAAGTGTGCTAGAGCCCATTCTGGAAGAATTCTTTCAGAAAAGTCTGTGTGCAGTGCCATTACTATCTCTATCTGAAATTGCCTCAGCTTGTTTTTACATCTAACTTTGTATTTGCCAGCCTCAGTGCTTGCTAAGGAGTGACAGGACAAACATTCCCCGTGTCTGAGTGATTCTTGGGAGCAGGCTTAATGCTGTCACATTAATAAGCAGTGAGCATTATGCATAATGTTTGCCAGAAAACTCTTTTACCAGGGAGCATCATATTGAATTTCATTGTTTAAAAGGAATTTAAATGAGGTCTAAGGTAAAAAAGTCTGGAATACTGAACTTTCTTAAGTCCATAAACCTATTTTTGCCTTGTAAGAATTCTTGATTTCTTCAATTACATGGCCTTTCATTTCTACTCCTGCCCAATATGTTTGTGATGCTCACACTTTCCCAGAACTTTGTGAAAATCAGATCAACACATTTTGGTAGCATCTCCTAGGTTTTCATTTACGACCTTATCTGTCTTATATGCCTCTCTTATTAAATCCTTATTTAGGTTGATTTAATTTTTTCCATATTGCATTTTATATCTGTCTTTTACTTTTATATTCTAGTGAAAAGAATGTCCAGGGCTTGACCTTAGAAATAACCAAAGAAGTGGAGTCTTTAAGAAATTCCAACTTGGTTACAGGAGCAAGAGTGAGTGTCAACCACGATCTCAGAAAGCTTTTAGGTTAGAAAGCAGAAAAGCTGAAACTATGAAAATAGTGTTGCCAAATTACATCAGTTTATCTAGGTCTCAACCCATGAAAGTCATTTCACAAGAAGTCAGTCCTCCTTTGGAAGGGGCAGTTATCACAGTGACAGGTATAAAAAAGAGACCATTTTTGTGAATTTTTAATGTTATCCTCAATAGAGTAAAAAATAATACAGTTTAAAAAGAAAATTTCAATTTATTATTCAAGAAACATTTATGGTCTCTGGTACCTCTTAAGTTTTTCTGGATGTGATTTAAAGTGTTCCAAAGAAAAGATGGAAATAAAAACCTACTTACATGATTTTGTAGAGAATGTTCGGGACAGTGGAGCCATTTGATAAACTGGACACGCCAGCTATGCTTACATTGGAGTCAGCGTTGGACGGAGAGCAGATTTCCAGACAGGCCCCCCCAGAGGGTTCTCCAGTCGTTGCAGATTGGTAAGCCCGGCTAACAACATTTCAGCGTGATTTGTGAGCGAGTGGCAAAATACTTAAAATGAAGTAAACGTCAGCATTGTGAATTACAGGGATCAGACAGACAATGCTTGTGGCTAATGAATGAGCCGGTGTAGGTGAGATGCTGCACTACTGGAGAACAAAAGGGAAAACCAGAAAAATTCAAGTTAGGGTGAAAATAGAGGTAACATATATATGAGAAGAAATGTGAGGGCCACCTTTAGTGTGTAAAGTCTTATTCACTGATTATAATTACTGCTAGCATTTAGAGAGGTTGAGTTACTTAACGCTAAAAGTTTTATGTGATGCAAATGATCCAGGTATGAGAACAGGAAAAGACATTTTTCACTATGTGAATGATATGGTGTGAAGAACTATTGAATAGAATCCATCAAGCCTATAAAGCATGCAAATTCATCCTATGATCAGGGCATCTTTGTTCATATACTTGCTCAAAAGCCAACATGTGAATCAGATGAAAAAGTATATGATTGTCAGCTGCAGTATTTTGATTCCCTGTGCAACAACCCCTATTGCAGTTGTCAACTCTTTTATTTGGGGTATTTTAAATTCTGCTTGGACATGAATTCTCATGGCATTAGCGGCACAGTAAGTAATGTGAGGTTGACTACAGGTCAGTCTCCTGCACGTAATGCTTAATGATGTCTTCCCTTCTTTCTGTCTCTTTTAGTAAAATGAAAGCCAAAGAGAAGTACCAGTCTGACCTGTGGTTAGAAATTGAACACTTGAATAAGGGTGAGGAGCTCAGACACAACAGGGTATGGGCTATTCGTTGTCTAAATCAGGACTTATGCACCCCAGTTCTGTGGGTCCATTTAGCCACAACTACCTACAGCCAATTACCTACAGGTATGAGAATAACTCTTATAAGACAGTCTGGTGCTCAAGGTTAGTGTGTGTGTGTGCGTGTGTGTGTGTGTGCGCGCACATGTGGTTGACTACTTTTATTTGATAAAATATTTGCAATCCGTTTTGTTTGGTTTATTTTACAGAATTTAAATATTTTTCTATGCTAGTGAAAGCAAAAATTGTAAAGTGGAATTGTCTCTGAGTATCACGATACATTTCATAAAGACATTTTTTTCTCACTTAGAAAAATGTGTTCCAGTCACTTCCATTTTGGATGCTCCCTATGTGACAGCATGAGACAAAGCCACTTCATTGATGTTGCAAGTTTCTGATATTCAGACTGGATGAGGCCAAGGGAAGGTGTCTGTGTGTTGGGGCCTCAAAGGGCAACTAGGGGCTTCTCAGCAATGCTGTTCAGTGTGGAGACTCAGCCTTTAGAGTCACACTGGCATGACGATGCCCATCTCTACTTTGATGCTTGGAGTTCCTACTTTACACCATTTTCAACTATGTACCTAATTTTCCTTTTCCCAGCAAGAATTCTTGAACATTTTGCCACATGCATCTGAAAGCTACAACAGTACCTGAAAGATACTTCCTAATACATTAATTCTCAAGTCTCCTTTCATTATTAGGGTATTAATAATGACACTTTAATAAAGCAAACTGAATATTATCTTCTAAACCAAGGAGTATTCTATTGACAGAGGCCAATATTTAATTACAAATTAGTTAGTGGACCATCTTCTTCATGTCTAAACTGTTTTCTTTTCATTCATAGTGTTGTGGCTCACATTGGATTGCATCAGAGTGGGGTGGGCATTCACTACATGAGGAACATTCTGGAAGGCAGAGGATGGGCAAAGAAGACACTCAGGATAGGCAGACTCCAGAAAATGCCAGCTGTCTAATAAATGTGGGTGGAATTTTTCATGGATGATAGAAGCAACAGTTGAAGAGAGCACAAATTCACTTCTGAAGATGAAAACAAAGACAAGTTCTAATTCAAGAAAGATATACGAAGGCACTAACTGGAGGATCAGATGTGTAGCGCACTCAGGAGGCTGTGTATCTAAAGGCAGATGTTCTCATAAGAAGCTTAGGCCAGAGTTATTTCTCACTACAAAACACCAGTGGATGGAGTATGTTGGGACCCAAAATATTGATTGGAGGGAGGTACTAGTGGATGACATTTTTTTAGCAGGAACCTAAAAGAGAAAGCCCATATATTACAAATTAGCATTTTAATACAATTTATTTTTTTTTTACCATGGTTTTCTCTTTGAGCTCTGCAGAGCAATAAATCCTTGGCAGCATCATATGGCATTTCTAAATATACTTTCTTTTTTGACCATTAAGCAATCAAGGGAGTGATTTATATTTGAAAACTCACATTTCTGGAAATATCACTTACTAAGGTCATGCTTCTTAAAGAAAAGCAATTGTTTTAAAAAGTCTAGATCTAACTATTAATTTACAGGGAATATAGGAATAAAGAAAAAGTCAAAACTTGTGCCCTTGTACATCTAAACTCCAAATATAAATATAGACTCAAGGTAAAATGTTGAAAAATAGTCCAACAAGGGAATAAGACCAAAAGGAAGTAACACGTAGTCATACTGATAATAAAATATTGATTTTCAGTTAAAAAAAAATAACAACAGAGAGGGTCAGACACTATATAATGATTAAGACAAGAATAAATCAGGAGGACATAACAATTATCAACATATACTCACTAAATGAAGGAACACCAACACGCCTTAGGCAATTACCATCAAATCTGAAAAGAAACATTGGAAAAAACACATTCTGGTAGATGTTTTTACACCCTATTCTCACTGATGGACAAATCAATGAGACACAAAAAGTGAATGGATTCATAATAGCTTTAAACAAAGACTTCCAACATATGAACTTGATACTTATTGGATACTTCAACATTCCAAAAACCAGGATATACATTTTGTTCAAGTGCACATAGGATATTCACCAGGTATGACCACATATTGAGTCACAGACAAATATTAAAAATATCAGGAAATTGAAAGCATGTACAATAAAGGTGGCAAAGTAAAAATCAACACCAAAAGGACTGCAGGGAAAACCTCTGCTATCTAGCGACTGAAAAACACACTTCTACAAGGCCTCTGAGCCAATGAGGAAATGAAAGAACAGATCAAAATATACTTTGAGACACATGACAGTGAAGACACATCCTTTCATAATAATGGGCAAAAGCCATGCTAAGAAGGATGTATGTAGCAACATAGGCCGACATCAAGCCCAAATAAACAATGTTATTTCTCCTCTAGAGGAACTAGAAAAACAACAACAACAACAAAAATCCAAAAGGCAGTAGAAGGAAAGAAATAATAAAAATTAAACCACAAAGAAATACAAATCCCAAAGATTATTGAAACAAAAAGCAGGATCTTTGACAAAAAAAATAGAAAAACCTCTAACTAGACTCACTAAGAAAAAAAGAGAAAATTCAAACAGGATGAACAAGAGAGAAGTCACAACAGACAGCGCAGAAATTCAGAGACAATAAGAGATTACTATGAACAAGTTCAAAAATCTAGAGAAGGTGGACAAATTCTTAGAATTATACAATCATCCAACACTGAGAATGGAAAAATTGAAAATCTGAGCAAACCAGTCACAAGCAAGTTTACTGAAATAGTAATCAAAACTTCTATAAAACAAGTCCTGGACCTGATGGCTGCACAAGAAATTTCTACGAAACTTTCAGAGGTGAACTAAACACTATCCTGCTCAAACTCCAGAAACTGAGAAATAAGAATACTTCCAAACACATTTTATAAGGTCAACATTACACTAATTTGGAAACTAAGCAAAGACAACACAAAGGAAGAAATCACCCTAATGAACAAAGACCAATCACCCTAATGAACATAGATCTGAAAAATTTCAGTAAAATCTTGGCAAACAGAGTCCAACAATGCATTAAAAAGGTTAAATGGTGGCCCTCCCTGGTGGCGCAGCGGGTTAAAGCACTGCACTGAGAAGCTAAAGCCACTTCCGCATGAGTTCGATTCCCGCCTGCCCCGGAGGAGACCACATGGCGTGGCAGACCTCTCCTGACCCGCCCGCTGCTCCCCTCAGCAGTGTACTTTGTCGATCTGCCTGTTCTGTTCCCCACTGTCTCTGGTGAAGCCTCTCACCGCCCCTGAGCCTCTGGCCTGTACCCCAGTTCTGTATGTACAAATAAATAAATCTTTAAAAAAAAAAGGTTAAATGGTATTTCTACCGGGAACACAAGCATGAGTCAACATCTGAAAATCAAACGATGTAATTCACCACATAAAGGAAAAGGAAAATGAAAACCATATGATTATGTCAATAGATGTCGAGAAAGCATTTGATAAGATTTGGCATCCATTTATAATGAAAATCCTTGAAAAACTAGGGGTAAATGAAACACACCTTAACATAATTAAAGCCATATAGGACATATCCACAGCTGGTATCATTCTCAGTAGTGAAAAACTGAAAACCTTTCCACTAAGATTTGGTACAAGATAAGGATGTTCATCCTCACCACGATTTTTCAGCATAGTACTTAGTCCTAGCAAGAGCAAATAGGTAAGAGGAAGTAATAAAAGGAATCAAAATTGGAAAAGAAGTAAAACTGTCATTATTCGCAGATGATATGATAATATCATATAGAATATCATAACATCATAGAGAATCTCAAAGACTCACAGAAAAATTAATTTTTTTCTCATTAAAACTTGTTTTAATGGGCCTCAAAATTCTGTGACAGATTTTTGGTCAAGTTGTTTCCATTAAAAAGTACTGATTTTAAAAACTAATAACTTAAAACTGCCACACAAAAGAAACCCAATGGTCCACAAAAAACATTCTACTTTCCTTCTGAAGTTTTTACGATGCATTCTTATCATTAACCAGTCTTTTACTATTAAACTTAAATGGCCAATTGAGATAAACACTTCTGAGACTGTTCTTCCACCTCTGATTAAGATTGGGGTGGCACTGATTAAGACTGGGGTGGCAGGATACAAAATCACCATGAAGAATCAGTTGCTTTAATGTGTGCAAAAGGTGAGCTAGAAGAAGAAATTAAGAAAAACATTCCATTTAATCCTACAAGAAAAATATAAATACCTGGGAATAAACTAACAAAGCAGGGGGAAAACCTGTTAAAAAAACATTGTTAAAAGAAATTGAAGATACAAGGAAATGGAAAGACAGTTTCTGCTCAAAGATTGAAAGAATAAACATTGTCCAAAATGGCCATCCTACTCAAAGCAACTTAGAGTTTCAATGCAATCCCAATAGAATTATCAATGCATTCATTCTTCAAAGGAATGGAACAAGTGTTACTGAAATTCAATTAGAGCCTCAAAAGACCTTAGATACCAACCTTTCCTAACTAAAGCCGGGAACAATGGTATTACACTTCCAGACTTCAAACAGGATGGTACTGGAACAGAAACAGACATAGTATTGAGACCAACAGAACAGGACTGAGAACCCAAAATAAAATCACATGTTTATGGACAACTAATCTTCAGTAAAGGAGTGAAGAAAATACACTGGAATAAGGAAAACATCTCAATTAATGGTTCTGGGAAACTGGGCTGCCACCTGCAAAAGAATGAAACTAGACCATGCTCTCATACCATACAAAAAAATCAATTCAAGATGGAAAAAAGACTTGGATATAAGACCTGTAACCATAAAATCCATAGAAAAAAACAAACAGGCAAAATTCTCCATGACAGAAACTTCAGAAATATCTTTGCAGATATGTCCCCATCAACAAGGAAATCAAAGGACAATATAAACAATTGAGATTGCATCAAATGAAAAAGCTAAAGAGACAATAACCAAAATTGAGAGACATCCCACTGAATGGGAGAATATATCTGCACACCTTATCTTTTACAAAGATATCAAAGACCTACAAAGAACTCATACTACTCAACAAAAAGAAAACAAGCAACCCAATCAACGAATGGTCAGGTGAGCTAAATAGGCACTTCTCCAACGAAGGCATGCAGAATGCCAACAGGCACATGAAAAAAATGTTCATCATTATTTATCATCAGGAAAATGCAAAGCAAGACCATAATGAGTTACCATCTCACACCAGTGAGCATGAACCACATTGAAAAAACAAAAACAACAGGTGAAAGTATGGAGGGTGTGGAGAAAAAGGAGCCTTCTTACCCTGTTGGTGGGATGTCGACTAACTCAGACATGAAACTACTTTGAAAGGAAACCTGCACTTCTATGTTTATTGCGGTGCTACTTACCATAGCCACAATATGCAAACAACTCAATGCTCCAAAAGAGATGAATAGATCAAAAAGATGTAGCATATGTAACAATGGAAATTACTCAGCAATCAAGAAGATAAATTCATGCCATTTGTAGCAACATGTGTGGAGCTGGAAGGGATCGTGCTAAATGAAATAAGTCAGAAGGAGAAAGAAATATTGGACGCTTCACTTATGTATGGAATATATAGAAACTATCTCTGCTTTTCTAATATTTGAATAAAATTATAGTATTCAAGATTCCATTTTGAATAGCATATCTTTAAAGCTAGTACAAGTGCTAGATTATAACATATGGAATTTCTTTAAATTTTTTTCTGAGGGAACAATACTGTGGTCACTTTATTCTGTCTAAACAAATGTTAACTTATATAATGATAAAAGCCTTCGGTAAAAGTAAGCATTTGTCTTTTTATGTGCTCTTTTTTAAAAATCACAAGTAATTAGGCTAAGATGTACACAATAGGTTCTTGGGAGGAGTAATTTTAAATTGAATCCTACTGTGGGGAGAAACTGGTATGGAAAATCAGCCTTTGTTTGCAGGATTATGATTTCTATAATTCTTTTGGGTCTTATATTTCAATAATGTTTCAAGTTTTATTTAAATGAAATGCTACTGGGGAAATAACAGCAATGATTTGACAAACAGGAGATAAATAATTCATGAAATCTTATGTGATTTATTTATATGCTTTCATTATAAGTTTACATTAATTTCCTAAAATAGTTTCTTTTGACATGCAGAATGCTAAGCTCTATTAAATGTATTAAATATATTCATAAAAATAAACTTATTTCAATTTAAACATGTCTACATGGTGAAATATGGTCTGAACACAATTTTATTTTATTTTAAAGATTTATTTATTTATGCTTACAGAACTGGGGTACAAGCGAGGGGTGTGATGGGTGAGAGGATTCATCAGAGACAGAGTGGGGAGCAGAACAGGCAGATGTACTAAAATACACTGCTAAGGGGAGCAACAGGCAGGTCAGAAGAGGCCTAACCTACCATGTGGGTCACTCCCTGGCTGGGGATGGAACTCGTGCTGCAGTGGCTTCAGAGAACTTCATAGTGTGGTGATTTAACCCATTGTGCCAACAGGAAGGGTCCTGGAAACAATTATAAACAGATTAAGACCTTAAAAGAAACAATTTCTAGTTTTAATTTTCTCCCTTAAAAAATGTCTGTCTTTGTCTTCCAGGTATCATGCAACAAGACCTAAGTTCATCTTCCTTGGTGCTTTTCTATAAGACCACCAGCACTGTGACTCAGCATGACGTAAGTACTGCGCTTCTGGAGTTTGTTCTAAGCAACTTCAGAAGCCACTTATGTTCTCAAAATGTCACTCTCGTTTGCATTAAAGTTGTTTTTTTGGGCCCACCTTGGTGGCTCAATGGGTTAGGACACAGCACTGCAAGCTAGCTGCAGCCGCTTCAGTGCAAGTTCAATCCCCAGGCCCTGGAAGTGACCCACATGGCACAGCAGACCTCTCCTGTCTCGCCAGCTGCTCCCCTCAGCAGTGTACTTCGTCAATCTG